AAGTTGGACAAAGTAATGGAAGGAGAATAGAGTGAGAGTGGGAATGAGGGTAATTAAAAAAATTAAAAGGATTGTCATCACTATACAGATAAGCACAAGACGTCTGTGGCAACATGGAGGTGGGGCTACAGTGACATTAAACATATATCAATCTCTCCCTCTACCCCATTCTCATAATCTTATCACTCATACAAAAAAAAAAAAACACATAAAGCTGAATTCGAGAGTCATTCTGATTTGAGGATGGATCTGTCAAGACCTAAATTCAATATGTCCTTTTCTACCAGAGTGTTAGATGAGCAAGCATCAAGGGCCATTGAAACACGCACACAAACCCACACACTTTTACAGTCCAATGCCCTGTCCTAGTGTGATGACTCCCAAAAGCATAGTAGAGGCAGAGACTAGATGGAGAGCAACCTTAACCTTAACCTCCAGCTCCATTAAATGCTCCAGAAGGTCAAAGACATAAAAAAAAACCACTGAAAGATCCAGGAACATCAACTTGGACACACACATTCTGTTTCTTCCCAGTACAGGTCAACCATCAGGTTGACCCAATCCATCTTCATGCCAATTTCTTGCCTAGTTCAAGACTGGAAAGGACCTAGATAATCCATTTCCTCTATTAATTCCTGAAGTAGCAATATCATTGCTTTCTCACCTGGGTTTGCTGAATTTGGAATATCAGATACTGACTTATACTTGTTAAAAATAGGTGGGTCTAGAGATGGCTCGCTATGGTCTCACCGTCACTTCTTTTAAGATGGAGAGAACTCTGTAAAGAGAGAAGTATTTTTGTTCTTCTGAGAAATCACTGGCAGGAGGAAATCCTTAAAGAACTTTCTAAGTCAAGCTGAGGAGAGATCTGATATACAAGTAGTAGTAGATACAGATCTAAGAACCTTATTCATTTCCTTAGGATACTACCAGTGTAACTGGCTCGCCCATATTATTAGATTATAAGGTGGACACCTTAGCTACAGTGTTGTCAGATGTGGCATCAAGCCTAGCAGGAATCTGATTTTATGAGACTACTCCCAACGGAGCTCAAATGGTACTTGGGGGTGGTGATTCCACACCACCCCCAAGACTAACACAGCTGTCTTCCTACAATGTCTAAGAGAGGAATGTCTCTTTTTACATGCTAAGCAACAGAAGCTTGTCTGGTCTTTGGGATGCCAACGTGCCCTTTGGGGTTTTGTATTCAATAAAACAGCAAACGTAAGTTGTAACTGAGAGACAGTAATCAGATAAGCAGACCTCTTGAAACGAGTAAGTCCCAGCCCACAAGAAGGCAGTGACTGAGCAGGAATTGTGATGTATCAGATGGCCAATCTGAGTCTGTTTTTCAGTGGTGGTTATGTGAAATTACAGCACAGAAAAGAATTTGGGAGCATGGCTTTTGTGCCTCACATATGAAGAATCTGTTCATTACTGCAAACAAAAAATCAAGTTGCAACAAATTCCTTCTTCTTTGTTGTTGTTACCTGCTGGGAGACACTGTGCCAGTAAATAAGGTTCTGCCATCAACTGAAAATCTGAAACCCGAGGGTTTTTTTGTTTTTTGTTTGCAGGGGAGGCAGGAACCATGGCTTCTCCATTAATGCTGTCTTTTGTTTTCTGAAAGGCAGCGATACAAAGTACAGTTGATGGGAAGGGGATACTGTATTGTGCTGAGATCAGACTATTCCTGCCTTTGTGCAACATGGCCTTGGTGAACTGCACTCGCAAAGGCCTTCTGCTTATCTCTGGTCCATCTGCTTGAGGCTTTCTTTGCTTAGATGTTTTCCTCAACTGAGTTGTCATCTAGAATGGGAGGGTGCCCACCCCAGGCTTCTTGTTCTGCTCAGAGATGTTGCTGCCATAGGCTTTCTGAGCAAAGAAGAGAAATTAATTGAATAGTCTCACAGAGGTAATTTATTGAGATTCCTGTCCAGCTTTGTCTTGGGTGGAGACTACAGGAGGGCTAATGAATTATAATGGGAGACACACCAACCTCAGAAGGCTGATGAGATCCAGAAGGCACTGTAGCCATTCTTAGCTTTGATAAGTTGCAATTAATTAAAGTTTCCCTCAACGGATACACAGTCTAGGACACTTGAGCAAGATAATTAGCTCTCAGCTTTTAATAAATTGCTTTGTGATTTCTCCAAGTTATTATTTTGTTCAACTCTGTCATATGAAGGATGAGTAATAAAGAAGTATTCTGAGCACAAAACTTTTAAAAATATTATTAAATGTCTCAGGCTTATTAACAACAAGAGGCCACCACCCTGATGTGCAAAATGATAACCAGCTTCTGTTGGCGTACACCAATTGCTCTGATTCAGTCCAAGACTCCAGACAAGTTTGAACCAAAATTTTTCAGAGTAGAATTAACAAAGCAATGCAATGAATAGTAGCTCTTTAAGATCCAGACATGTCAGGAATCTTTGACTGAATACATCTGAATGTATCTCTAGAACTGGCTCTATCTCATGTTTTACCTGAGAACCTGAATTGCATTTTAAGTATCAATATTTAGCTTCAAGATGATCCTCAAAACCATGGCAGTTTTCAAGTAATACTATTATTACTATTGCTATTATCAGTGAATTCTTATTATAATGGCAACCTCTGAAAACAATACATGACCCCAAGGTTGGAAGGAGGGAGGAACAACATAGTATCAGGAATATTTTTCATTGTGTAATGTTACTATGTATAATTCTTCTGACTGTTTAACTAGTGTGTTACAAATAAAATTGCTTTAAAATGTTGCTACAATCACTGCTTTTGTTCACTCACAATTGTGTTTCACTTCATATTTCTTTGCTATAGTTTATAAAGCGCTCCTGCTTAGAGCTTCAGCCAACCAGCACTCTTCCAGGATACTCCACTACCCTATATCCCATTTGTAATTTTTTGCTTCTTTCTCCTCTCCTCCTCTGTGGGAATTGAATAATGAACACATTGTTAAATTTTCATTAAGTAAGAAAGTACCACACTGAATTCAATAATGTTGAGTGGTAGACTAGAAAACTCTCTTCTCTTGAGTTAGGCCCTTGGGTTATCTATCTTGGTACTGTCTATGTTGACTAGCAAGTGGTTTCAAGGACATACCAAGTGGTACAGAGTCTGTTTCAAAATGTTGAGGTTGGGGGTTGAATGTAGAGATTTGGCATGAAAAATAAGCATCATACACTGAGCTACAGCCCCTTTCTGGTGTTCAGGAATACTATCAAAATTTGTAATTTCAGATTGTGTTCTAATTGTCTGTTTAAAGCAGAATAGAGAATAGCACTGAACAATTTGCATGGTTAAAGAAATATAAGAATTGCTCAATGTTGCAAAAAGGAAACATTTTATATTATGGGAAAAAACAAATAATTTGAATTTAACCACCACATTGCTGTAATATTTAGAATTGCCTAGGAGAGATTTCATATTTATTTGTTGCAAGTTTAAGGATGGAACAAGCCCAGGCAAATACAGGCCAACTTCTATTGGGAAAACTACTTTTATTATAAAAGAGAAAGCTATAAAATCAAATCCTTTTTCTTTGATATAAAAGTGGTGCGTGGTCCCTTACTTACAGTGAGAGATTTATAACAACTTATTCCTTCTTTATTGTATGTCTGTCTTTTCTTCTTCTTCTTCTTCTTCTTCTTCTTCTTCTTCTTCTTCTTCTTCTTCTTCTTCTTCTTCTTCTTCTTCTTCTTCTTCTTCTTTACTTAGCTCTTATCTTAATACTAATCTCCTAAATTCCCATGGCTCTATTTCTAGATATCTTATTTCTATTGTTTTGTCTTATTTCTGTTTCTTACTTCTACTTAAGAGGGAAGTAGCCTATTCTACTTCCATCTCAACCTCATCCCCTGTCTCTTATTTCTATTTCACCATTATTCCTTGATTTTACTTTTAGATATTCTTCTTTCCCTTGTCCTCCTCTCCTTTCTTTTCCTAGCTACCCAGATCTCAACAACCACCCACTGGCTCTTATTAGGGACTTAGCTGGCCTTGGCCATCTGCCAGCTATGTCATGAAGGAGAGGTCAAGACTCTTGTCCTCCATTATTCCAGTCCTAAGTTCTGCCAGATACCTCTGTCCCAACTGCCTTTCTCCTTGGGCTGCTTTGCTGAGGGCTATCATTTGGATCTTTGTGTGTCCTGGCCCACACTTGTTGCTTTGAGTGCAGCACTTGCTCTGCTGCTTGGACTTGCTTGTGTGATTGGAAGGAAGGAAGGAAGGAAGGAAGGAAACTCCCAGTGCTCAGACAGTTTGTAGGTCCCTACTGCTTTCTGCACCATGTCTGGTTTCTCTACTTCTGATTCAGCTGATGCCACTTGCCACTCTTTAGTTGACAACACCACTCTTGGGCACCTGATCTTCTCACTGCTTGACTCCAACCACCAATTTTCTGCCATTGGCAATCAATGACATTCTTGATGGCTTCTTCCTAAGAATGAGCAGGATGTGTGAGAGAAAGGTACAGGCAGCTTTGTTGCTTCAATTATCATTTTACAATATTATTTCAGACAGATGCTAAACTAGATTGTGATCTTCATGGGCAGGAAGCAACTGGAGACAGGGAAATAATAAGCAACAAAACTAAGTTCAGAGCTTACCTCACTCAACTTTTCATCCAGCCTCAGCAAATCTATGGTAGAAGAAAGACTCCAAGGCTTGAATTTCCTAAGGAAACAGTGAATAGCCGGGTAATCTCAGATGTTCATCATGCAACAAGGTTTCTATTGTTGCTGACTTGCCAAGTACATCTGAGCATTTGAAGAAGTCAGCTGAAAAACCACCTCTGACTCATGGTTACAAGTTAGGATTTTACGGTGTGTCCCTCAATTGGAGATAGAGATAGAAAAGAGAGAGAGAGAGAGAGGATGGATAGACAGACAGATATGGTAGATATGGTAGATTTATTTAAAAAATAGACATGGTAGCATGTTAGGTTTTTTTTTTTCATTTCAATTAGATATTTTGATTTTTGTTTCAGTTTCTCCTGTTCAGCTGCAATAACATAATTGGAATGATGAAGCACTGACCTTTCAACCACTGTGTGTATAACTGAGTTAGGATTGCAGAGAAGTCTCATCTAAACTATCCCTACCTCTACTCTGCAAAGCTGGAAATTGCAAACTGGATCCTTCACTCTGACAGTTCCAATAATTCAGAATTATGTATACCTCTGCCATTATCAGGTAGGTTGTGCTTGCTTCAAAATGTTCTGAAGCACTTTTTTCAAAATGCATTTATTTTTTACTTTTACATATTACACTTTTACCCTGCTGCAATCTTGCAGGAATCTTGGTGGTTTTACAACTTTAAAATATCCATGGTCAATATTAAAACAATGATAAAAGTTCTAAAAACATGCAACCCTCTTGCCCCCAAAAATAAAAATCCTAAAATTTCCTCTGTAATAGGACATCTGCTTTCAGCTCCTTCCAGAAGGCAGTGAGAGTTGGTGCTAACCTAAACTCTAGCAGAAGATTATTCCAGAGTTCAGTGCTGCTGCTGAAAAGCAATGCCTCAGAGTCATGGCCCCCATCCCCACGGCTCCCAAAATAGGGAACCACCAACTTTTCCTGGCAGTTTCAATTGGTCAAGCCAATTCTACTGGGCAAATGCAGTCTTGAAGGCAACTTCATGCCAAGCCATAAAAGGCTTTAAAGATTAAAACCAGCACTTTAAATTGCACCCAGAAGCCCAAAGGAAGGCAATGCAGGACTTGTAGCACAGATGCAATGTGCACCCACCGGCAACCCACCCAGCTGCATTTTAGACCAACTGAAGCCTCCAAGTGGTCCTTAAAAGCAGCCCCATGTAGAATGCATTGCAGTAATCCAAGGAAATGGCGATGATGGCATGAGTCACCACAGCAAGATCTTCTCACTCCTGGTAGAGCTGCAACTGGCACACCAGCCAAAACTGAGCAAAGGCTCACCCTTGCTGTGGCTTCCACTTGCTCTAGCAGAAGTTGCAAGTCTAGGAAAACCCCCAAATCATGGTATTGCTTCTTTCCAGATAGTGTTTTCCCATCCAGAGGCACCACTGGAGCTGCCAGAATATACCAATGGATAAACAGTAACTCTGTCTTACTAGGATTCAATTTAAGCCTGTTCCATATACTGGGAAAAGACTTCAGCATTACTCTAATTCTGTTAATTCGACTGACTGATTTATAATAGTTTATCATATTGTTCTTATTATTGTTAGCTACCCCGAGTTCACATGTAAGATGGGTGGTCATATAAACTTTCTAAATAAATAAATGAAGAAAGAGCATCACCAGCACGGCCTGGAGTAGTGATGTAGCATTATATTCAGAATATTAATATCTAACCCTGAACTGCTGGATGAATTACCCCAGTGGCTTCATGTAGAGCCTTGATGGATTTGCCTGTCAGATTGTTGGAAAAGTCCCCATGAATCCACTGGAAGCCATCTGGATCCACGAGGTACATGGGAGGGACCATCCAAATGGGTCCAGACCTGCAGAGGTCATAGGCAGCTCTCAATCACATCTGGACCAGGAAATTATCTGACCACAATAAAGGGGTGATAATAATGCCCTCCATACCCAGGTTGCATAACAACTTCTCCAGTGCAAGGTCCAATAACTGGCCAGCTTTGAAATTACCTGAGACAGAAATGTTTGCATGTCAGATCCAAATTACCTGGGACAAATCTAAGACTGCCATGGAAGCTATGACCCAGCTTCCACCATGTGGATCATTGCATAGGACTGCAGTAACAGGGGATCTGTCAAATGTTTCGTAGACTACAACATAGGACATGAATGCATTTGATTTGGTACATTGTTGTTCCACAGTCTAGCACTACCCTAAACACTTTTAAGAAAAAGCAGACGCCACGGCAGCACAAAATTGTATTGATTGATTGATTGATTGATTGATTTGTTCAAATCATCCTTCAGTACTCTGCAAGAACCTGTCTCAGGCCTTTCTGAATCTAAGCAGCCATCAAGCTGCTGAGGCCTGTTCCCTGTTCTGCTCAAGGAAAAACTATTCACACACAGAGTCACCAGAAATCTTCTGCTCAAGAAAATCGCCTTTCACCTGATATTCAGGTAGAAACGAATTACTTGTTCAAGGCAGCAACCAGCAGGAATTCAATGAAAGTTTACATTTCATGCTGAATCTTGATATTTTCTCTCCCAGATTCATTTTGAATCCTCTGCCAAAACGTTGGAGTTTGCATTGAGTAAGATATAATGAAGCCCACGCAGTGCTTGGACATAATGATCAGACAGGGGGAGGGGATAGAGGCAGCCGGAGGAATAAGGAAAGAAAATTCATTTCTGAGATGGATACGCATCCATACAAAAACACACATGCCTATCCCATTCAAGAAAGTCTGGGGCACATTATAAACTGTCTTCTTGTTGGCCTTCTGCTTCTTTCCTTGCAGGCGAAATAACGGGAGTCGCATAGCAAGGGGCCAGAGAAAGGGTTGTGCTCTGCAACTGCATAAACTTCACTGCAAAGGCCCCACTTGGATGCTCTGCCTTGTTCTTCCAGCGCAGGTGAGGCTGAAGTCACCTCCTCACCGGTTCCCTTAATGTATAGATAGCATTGTCAGCAAAAACACACGTGCAAAAGATCAGGTCTTGCTTCAACAGCCTACATATTTAATTTAGTCAATTAACATGTCATTAATAATTAAACATTAAATAAACATATAATCATGAATATTGAAACATAATGAAGGAGGGGAGAGAGAAAACAGCAAAAAGTTTGATGCTGAGCATTTAATGCAATGGCATATTTTCACTGATGCTGAACCCACATGTTAAAAATGCATTTACCTCTTATAGGATGCTTCCATGCCTGTTTATGTATTATGTATTAAATTTCTCCCCTGCCCATCTCCCCCCAATGGGGGAACTCTGGGCGACTCACACAAAACATTAAAACCATAAATATATA